GGAGAAGGAGGGAAAGGATCCTAGCCGGAGGGAACAGCATGTGCAAAATCCTGGGGCAAGACCAGAGAGCCCAGGGGGTTGGGCAGCAGAGGGAAGGCCTGTGTGGCCAGAGGGGAGGGGGAGGGGGAAGAAGGTTCACGGGGAGACTAAGGAGAGTCTGAGTCTCTGGGCTGAGGCCTTGCCAGGCGGCTGGGAGGTGTGCAGGTCTTCCGGGGGGAGTGAGGAGCCTATGGTGGGCTTGAAGGCACGGGCGGGCGGGCGGCATGACCAGGTTTGCAATTTCAGTATAACCTCTGGTGGCTGGGCCAGGATGGGCTTCGGGGAGGCTACTGCAGTGGTCTGAGCAGGGGTGCGAGCGGCAGTGGGCAAGAGGACAGAAGCAAGCGGAGCAGGGTCTCAGCTCTTGGGGGCCCGCTGTGGGGGACAGAGGCGGTGTGGCAGCTGGAAGAGGGGAGTCCCGTCTTCTGAGCTGGAGAACCCGGAGGAGCTACCTCGGAGTTCAGGAGAGACGGCCAGGGTGGAGACAAGAGCAGCAGGGCGGGTGGCCTGGGGGTCACCCAGAGAGAGCCCAGGACAGAGCTCCCGGGGACCTACCCACAGAGAGGCCACCCTTGGGCAGGAGCCGCGGGACAGGCCAGGGAGTGGGAGGGCCCCGGGGCCCGCAGCTCAGCGGACCCCATCCTCTCAGAAAGTTCCAGGAGAGCAAGGACTTTGTCCAGCCCCGGGTCTCTGGGGGCCCAGGGGTGCTCAGCAAACAGGTAGGGAATGAAGGAAGGAACTGTGATGAGGTCAGACAACAGGAAGCATTTTGGAGGGTGGAGTCCCCAGAGAAGGGAGCGAGCAGGCAGCACCCACCCCTCCAGCACCACCCCCAACTCGAGGACAAGCGGGAGGTTATTCTGGGGCCTCTGCCGGGTAAATATAGCCTCGGGACGGGGTGGGGGTGGGGTGGGGGGCCGGAGGTGGCTTCCTCGGTTTGTTTGGGGCACTTCCTTATAAGGCCGTGCAGTCTGAGGCGCCAGAGGGTGAGGTCAGGGGCTGAGCTCTCCGTTCAGCCAGGCTGATGCTGTCCCTGCTGCTGCCACCGCGGGGCCACCCGCCGGGTCTCCGAGGGAATCAAAGGCCTGGGCTTTGGGCTCGGGCCAAGGGAGCTCTGAGTGGGGCCTTTTAAAGGGCTGTCAGGCTTCCTGCCCGGCTGTGCGCGCCCAGTGCAGGGGTGGGGAGGGTGTCGTCCAGGGTCCTCTGAGAAGGCAGCGCTGGGGCTCTGCTTTTCCCCTCAGAGCCCCGCGGCCGGAGGCTCCATGAGGCTGTGGCTCCCTGGGGTCTAACCTTACACCTCCCGCTGCAGGCTGCCCCTCTCGATGGGGCCTCTTCAGATCAAACACTTGAGTTCATCCATTGCTTCCAAAGGCCCTGGCCCCTCAAGCTCCCTGCGCAGCCCCCCCCACCGGCCCCTCCTGGGGGACCAGCTGCTGCCGCTTGACCCTTTGGTGTCCCAGCTGCTGTGTCTGCAGGGGCATCCTCGGCAGGCAGGGAAGAAGGAATGTGGTTTAATTTCAGCTGGAATGTGCCCTCTGGGCTGCCCACAGCAAGGCGAGGGGACGGAGACCAAGCCCACCCGAGCCCAGGAAACCCAAGAAGACTCTGGGCTTGGGGACGGGCCCCCGGGTCCCCCTGGGCCCCGCTCCCACCCTGCAGCGGAGGCTCTGCTGGGGTGGGGGACGGGTCCCACAGCGGGATGGGTCTCCCTGGGAGCTGGGGAAAGAGATGCTTCTTGTGAATGCAGCAGCGCGAGTGGGTAAAGAAAGGACCCAGGCACCTGTTCCTAAGTCCACGGGCCCACCTTAGAAAGACAGAAGAGTCTCAAGGGACTGAACCAGGAAAAGGGACTGAATGAAGGAGGAGGGACAGAATGGCCTAAGGCGAGGCCCCCACCCCCCAAGTCTGCGGCAGGAAGCAGAGGGAAACCAGGAGCTGCTTCCTGTCTCACATCCAGGTCTCTGCTTCTGTCCCCGCGGGGGGGCCCCTTTCCAACCGAGCACCCCCACATTCAGATCACACTCGTCTCTTCTCCAAATTCCAGGAGCAGTGGGCCTGGCTCCTGCTTTCCCGCGCCTTCCCCCGGCCCCATCCTTCCTGGGTTCCCAGGGTGGACGGCCCTCCTGTAACCTGACAACGGGAGGGGGCCCAGACCCCAGAGGCCCCTCCAGTCTTGGCCAGGAGCCACAAGCTCCCCTCCTCCAGTGCCATTCACCCTGCCCACCCCCATGACTCAGCTGCGGCTCCAGAAATAAACCGAGGCAGATGCCAGGGGCCACCGTCGAGGAAGAGCTCTCAGCAGCTGTGGGCTCAGCTGCTGACCAGCCAGGGCCCCAGGGTCCCAGGAAGGGTGGCTGGAGGCTTCGGGGCGGGGGAGATGCCTCACCGGCTCTGGCCCCTCCCGGGCCCTTGCTCAGCCTTGCTCACCACTCACAAGCCCACTCTCTCCCTGTCTCCCCCGGTTTTGCCTCTCCACATCTGCTACCTGCTTTGCTCCCTCTCCCTGGTTCCTTGCCAACTCCCAAATCCCTTGGTCTCTCCTGGGCTCCTTCCTCTTCTGTTCACCTCACATGTCACAGAGAACTTCAGCTCACCTTGATGGGGAAACTGAGGCACAGAGAGATGTCCCCTGCCAACGCTCCTAAGAGTCCCTAGACACCTCTTGGGGGTCCACAGAACACAGGCCAGGGGGCTGTGGACTGCTCCCCTTAAATGCCCCAGTCCCAAGTGGTCAACAGCCCTCCCTGAGCTAACACGCTAGCCAAAGACTAAAGGAAAACCGTCAGGGAATAAACACACAGGCTGCAGACCCACCCACTCAGACGATTACTTAGAGGCCAGAGTCCTCCGGTGGGCGAGCTTCCTCACATTCTTCTTCTTTCCCCCTCTTTTCCCTGTCTGTCCTCCCCCTCCCCCCCCCTTCCTTGTGCTCTGCTGCTGAGTCTTTCAGTTCTTCCTTCCCAGGAGGAAGGCGGCTGCTTTGCAGCAGGCAGAGTG